GTGAGAAAGGAATGTGCCTCCAACCATCTGGCTTATCTCTGCGGAAGGGAAAGTGCGGAGACCCAACAATATCTTCACAAGCATGGGAACGGACCCGTTATCAGCTCCGTTCCCATAGCGGACTTAACACCTGAGGATTGGCCCATTCAAACTGACCGGATGAACTACTGGGGTGGGGTTTACTTGGGACTCTTTTAACCTATTGATCTGAGTGGGAAACTCTCAGATCCTGCTTATTATGCCTGCTATCAGCTTCTCCTAATAAAAGTTCCTTTTGGAATGAAACTGTTCCAAGAGTCCTGCTTTCTTGGGATGAGGTTTTGAAGTGGGCCCTGACATATTCTTCAATATCTTCATAAATGACTTAGATGAGGGAATAGATGGGGAACTCATCAAATTTGCAGATGACACTAAACTGGCAGGAATAGACAGCATCCCAGAAGACAAGCTCAGGATCCAAAAAGATTTTGACAAACTTGAACAATGGACCCTATCCAACAAAATGAATTGTGATGTGGAGAAAAACAAATTTTTACATTTAGACAGGAAAAATCAAAGCTTTTAGGAACAGATTAGGCGAGACTTGGCTCAAAAACAGTAACTGTGAGAGGGACCTTGGAGTCCTAGTGGATGATCACTGGAATATGAGCCAGCAGTGTGAGGCAGCAACCAAAAAAAGCTAATACAATCCTGGGCTGTATAAACAGAGGCATAGAATCAAGATCATGCAAAGTATTAGTGCCACTTTATAAAACCTTAGTAAGACCACACTTGGAATACTGCAACCAATTTTGGTCACCATACTACAAAAAAGATATTGAGACTTTGGAAAACGTTCAGAGAAGAGCAACTAAAATGATCAAAGGCCTGGAGACTAAAGCATATGAAGAATGGCTGCAGGACTTGGGTTTGGCTAGTCTAAAAAAAAGAAGAAACAGGGGTGACATGATAGCAGTATTCCAAGTATTTGAGGGGCTGCCTCAGAGAAAAGGGGGTCAAATTATTCTTCAATGCACCAGAGGGCATGACAAGAAACAATGGTTGGAAACTGATAAAGAGAGAAGCAACCTAGAATTAAGGAGAAACTTCCTAATAGTAAGCACAATTAACCAGTGGAACAGCCTGCCTTCAGAAATTGTGGGTGTGGTCCACTAGGTGAGCGTGACCACTGGATGGGTGTGGCTGCAGTGGGCATGGCCGGGGTGGGCGTGGCCACCTCGATGTTGCTTGTGGGGAGGGATGCCTATGGGGGCCAGGCAGGGTTGGGGGAGATCCAGGGGGTCGCTTGTGGGTGGGACAGTGGGCAGGAGGCTCATCCTGCGGGGTGAGGCAAGGTAAGGCAGGGGCCTGGACAGCTGCTGCCTGCCACCGCACACAGCAAGCGCATGGGGGCCAACAGTGTCCGTCAGCAGCCACAGCCTGCCCGCCCCTCGGCCGGCACATTCTGGGGCTCCACAGCCCACTGCGAATACCGGGCCAGCCCTCCAGCAGCAGGCGGAGTGGGGAGGGGGGAAGCATGTGATGCAGACCGCTGGACGTGCCTACTCCATCCCATCTGTTTTTGATTGCGGTTGGAGAGTAGGTTGCTGCTGGTCATCTCCTCGGCCCCCTTGCAGATCTTGTCCTTGGCCTGCACGTGGAGCCTGTTCCCCTCGCACACCCGACACACCTTAGCCCTGCCTTGGGCTGCCGCCGCCAGCAGCTTGCGCAGGTCCATTAGGCTACCACCGCTGCCTGGAGCACCTGGCCCACCCAGCACAAAGGAGGTGAAATGGCCGGCTAGCAAGCTCGAGTAGAGGTGGTTGAGCACGCCCACAGCCAGGAAGCCAAAGGCCACCCCAAGCGGGGAAAGCCGGATCTCCATTGGTGCCCATGGTCCCCCAGTCCCAACTAGGTTTGCATGCCTCCCCCATCTCTGCTGGGCATGCTCTACCACCTCTACGTGGGGCTTCCTAGCTGACCGTTTCACCTCCTTTGTGCTGGGCAGGCCTGCAGCTCTGGGTGGCGGCCTAGTGGACCTGCGCGAGTGGCTGGTGGCCACGGTAGGTACTGAGGTGTGTGAGGGGAATGCACTCCACCCACGGGCCAAGGGCAAGACCCTCAAGGAGGCTGAGATGACCAGTAGCCAACAGCTCTCCAACCAAAAAGCCATTTCAGTGTTGTTAAGGATGGAAGAAGGTAAGTGCTACAGTACTTCCAACTCACACGGATTACAATAATCCTAAATGGAAAGATTAAAATGGTCTCACAATTAAGAGTTCTTCTATTTAAGCTGATCTGTTCAGAGGAATAATTAAAAAAAACACTTCCATTGTTTGAATTTCAACAAGGGAGCCACAAGCGACAACATGAAAGACAATTTGGTTGTTGGTTAAGCACTAGGCTAGAAACAGGGAGATTGCCAGTTCTAGTCCCGCTTTAGGCATGAACTTTAGGTCAGTCACTCTGAGCGACTTTAGGTCACTCATTCCCTCACAACAGAATTCATCTCACAGAGTTGTTGCTGCGGGGAAAATAGGTTGAGGAAAAAGTATTAGGCTTGAGTTATTTATAAAGGCAGGATAAATATGAATAAACATGAATCAAGATGTACCTCAGCAGAAGTGACAGGGGGGGGAGTGAGGGGATGAGAGCCAACAGCGTAAAATTATTAAACAGACCACGATGTTAACAGCGCTATGAAGGCTACCACCAATGGCTTAATAAAATAACCAAACACCTTCATGGGATTAAAAACGGAGAGAATGCGAGAATGAGAAAAGCTACTGTCCAAAGAATTTCACCCTCCCCTCCCCACCGCCTTCGTTTAAAAGGCAGCTCTCGTCCACTCCCGAAGCTCTGTGTGTGGCGAAGCCTCGGCTGCCCATCTTGGGGTGGAGAGTGGGGTGGGCAACTTTCTGATTAAGCGTCGGCTTCGGAGGCGCGCAGGTTGTGTTTTCAGGGGGAAGGGTTTTGTGGGGTTACTTTAAAACAGGGAACACCCGCCTTAGTTATTGTTAGCAGGAAAGGCTTTGCTCTGACGTGCAGTAAGACGGTAAGTTCAAGGAGGCCGTCATATTCCATTCACCCATGGGTTGGCTTTTCTGTGATACATACAACTCTTGTTGTATTTTTAAAAATGGTTTAAAGGTCCAGGGGAAAAAATGCAGTGAGAAGCACCCCACCGCCAGCCCCCTGACAGAGCACTCCATCACCGCCGCTGCTCTGACCCAACCCTCGCAGAACACCATTCTCCTGCAATTCCGACCCAACCCTCGCAGAGCGCCGTTCTCCCACTGACCCGACCCAACCGAAGCAGAGCGCCCTTCTCCTGCTGCCCCGCCCTGCCCCAACCCCGCCACTCCGATCCAACCCTCGCAGAGTGCCCTTCTCCCGCCACCCTGACCCAACCCTCGCAGAGTGCCTTTCTCCCACCACCCCGAACAAACTCGCCGGTCCGACCCAACCCTCACAGAGCGCCCTTCTCCCACCACTCCAACCCAACCCTCGTGGAGTGCCCTGCTCCCACTGCCCCAACCCCTCGCAGAGCACCCTGCTCTTGCTGCTCCCCCCACCCCCACGTGGCATCTTCTTTTCAGCTGATGCGGTCCCCCATCACTTCCTCCGCCATTGTGTGGGACTAAAAATAAAGTTCAATCAATCAATTCCAACTTTGCGAGATCTTTTTTCCCCGTGAGTTGAAATTGATTGATTGGTTGAACTTTTTTTTTTGCACATGGCAGCAGAGGCCTAAAGTGAAAAGGTTTTATAAAACCCAGCTTAAAAAGCCACTTGCCCAAGATTTTGATGCAGGTTGCTCATGGATGGGACTGAAGGCCTAGGACTGGGGCGACAGCGCGCATGCCCACAAAGAGGGCTCTGCTTGCCACCTGTGGCACACGTGCCATAGGTTTGCCACCACGGGACTAGACAATCACTTGTCTGAAATGATATAGGTTCTCCTGCTTAAGCAGGGGGCTGGACTAGAAGTCCTCCAAGGTCCCTTCCAGCTCTATTCTATTCTATTCTATTCTATTCTATTCTATTCTATTCTATTCTATTCTATTCTATTCTATTTTCTATTTTCTATTTTCTCTGACAATCAATCTAGAAACTATGTAAAGCGTTCTCAAAAGAAAGGAGTAATAATTTATTTAAATAAAAGGATATATTACAGTAAACCTCAGACATACTTTGATTTTTTTCTTTTATATTGCATCTTTTCAAATGTTCTACCTGATTACAATATGGTTGGGACTGTACCTGATTCTGTAATATTAAACGCTAATAAATATATATATATAAGACGGTCATGTTTCTTAAAGTATTCACCTCCATCTTTTAGCTTCTTTTAAGAGGACAAAGGATAAATATTTTATTTATATACCTTAGTACCGATTATTATTTTATACCTGATATTTTTACTCTGTCCTCATACTTACTTATGAGGTACAGTCCCCTTTCCCTCAAACAAAATTGAATGTGGCCCTCAGTTCAAAATTGGTTGTCCATTCATAAACAAACAGATAAAATCTTTGTTTTACAATACTCTTCTGCCTCGTTTGTTAATTAACAGTGTTTAATATGACTTCTCTAGATGTAGCATATCTAGGCAGAGAATAACAGAGAAACAATCACTTAAAAATTTCTTCTCACTGAATCACACTGCCAAGACAATCTGAACTGAGGAATGATCTGTTTGCTATGTAACTTACACGAAACATGTATCTGGATATCTGATTATTGATTTAATCAATTTAAAGAGGTTTACAATGTGAAAATAGTCCAAAGAAACTAAATCTTGTTTTCAAAGTCCAGAGTTTTCTACTTTTATGCATATTTATTTAGAGGTTAATTTTAGTGAAGGGTTTATCTATGAGCATCCATTCCATACACATATACATGCATACATATATACACACACACACATGCAAATCAGAAGAAAATCATAGAAACACAGCTTTCATATAGAGGCCTAATAGGACTAATTTACCAGATCTATTGCTCATTTTATAATTTACCTTGTGTGGTGGTTTCAGAGATGGGCAAACTCTCTTGATTATCTTTAAGTGTGTAAACACTGACATTGTATTCCACACCAGGACTCAGATTTTCAAAAATGCAGGATGTATCTTCTGCTTGCACTTGCTCCTCCAGAGTGTAGCCTTCTTGCCCATTTGTAGGGACTGTTGTAATTCTGTATCCAGTGATGTCTAATACAAAATGATAAATAGCCACACATAATGTAATCTTTAAAATACAGGAATCAGTGTAGTTATTTTAAGATATACAATTATTTTAACACTCTAAATCAAGCACCCATAATTGTCTATATACCTTTACAAATATTGATTTAGGACTATTCAATATTTACTAACCTTATTCTGGTCACCATTGAAGTAATATTTAATTATTAGACCATAGATTAAGAGGATTGTTTCTAGATTAGAGTATGATTTTTCTGGCTATCAAACATCAAATTTTTATTCTACCACATACTGTGTTATTTTTCATTAATTTTAAATGCCTGAAACTCAAAACTCAGCCGAGTACCTCAAAATGTGCAAAATGCTCTAGAAAATGGAGCCACTTCCTGTTAGGAAAGCTACCTGCTACAAGCTATCTCATACCAATTACCTGATTACCAACAGCCTTAGGAACATCGGCTCAGTTGACATAAGCCTCAGGTGAGCTATTCCAGAGAACTGGAGTGCTCTAATCAAAAGGGGATTCGTGGGTAAGGATAAGGTACCTGGAGTAGTGCTTTTTTTCCAAGAAACAGTAAGGATTCCAGTGTCAGGGTTAGAATCAAGGTTCAAGTTTGTGGGAGGAGATGGTGCTGAGAAATAAAAGCAAAATGTTAGCAATGTTAGGTCTGATGTTGATATTCTATTTTACTGCACCAAAGGAAATCAGAAGTCAATGCCTTTTTTTCTCCCTACCCTCACTTTTCTATTCCCCTTTCCCTTCCCTATCCTTCCTGCTATTTACTTTTGTATTTTCATTGTATTGTATACTATAAACTAATAAAAACTTTAAAGGAGAAATAAAAGCAAAATGTTAGATTTGTAGAAAAATGCAACTCTTATTTCTTGTGCTTTAAAGACACAAAAACGAATCTCAGGAAAAGTTTCCAACAAGTCCTCTTTCCATTTGCAATGTTTTTTATGTCACAGATATGGTAAAATAACTGTCTCAACTCAGTTCTAGAAATTATTGATAGCTTAGTAGTATTTTTTCCAACAGCAGCTGATCTCTGTGAGTTGATCTATATAGGACAGGGTAGGCAACTAAAGCCCCAGGGTTCCTTCTAAATTGATACGGCTAATCTGCATTTAGATAATGCGCCTTCTATGCAATTGTGGCAGTTTTAAACACTATTTACAAATATGTTACAAGAAAACATAATTATGAAGTCACATCATTACTCCTAATTTTCTTATCTCAAATTATATCAGATTTTTTCTTAATATGTTTTATTAAGAAAATCATTTGGCCCAAAATATTTCCACTGAAGTTTGTGGGGACACACTCAGAGGCTAAGTAGCTTTGGTGTCTTTGCCTCAACATATAATGAGATACTTAAATGACCCATACGTGTGACTACTGTCTTGACGATAGGTGTTGCTCTTTCTTGACCATCCTTAATAACATTAATGCTGTAGATATATTCTACACCAGGAGTTAGGCCAGATATAACAATGCTTCCAGATTCTGAGATGACCTCCCTTGGAGCTTCTCCACCTTGGCTTGGTCTCACCCCTAGCTGTAATAGGAAAAGAATAAACAATTTTTTGCTGATATATATTGGTTTCTGTCCTGTGCTAGGACAAGAATGATGAGAATCTGGTCAACTTTCAGAAAATACACATTAGAAATGCATGTGGAATTAAAGCTGCCAATGTAAGAGTTGAGAAAGATATGGATAGGAAAAGAGATAAGGTATTTTATGGTTTTAATAATATACTAAAAATTAACTTAAATAATTTTAAACAGCAGTGAATCTAATAGTTTTCAACCTTGCCAATTTTAAGATGTCTGGACTTCAACTCCCAGAATTTCCCCAGTCAGCATGGTCCACTCCCTCTTCTCCTTATACTCAAATTTAACAGAGAAAATCTCAGAATTTGCACAATTTTGCTATGCAAGGAGTATGTTACTAACATTTCTTTTCATCAAGCTGAAAATTGTTCCATAGGTTATCTGTTAAAAATTTAGAATCTAAGGTTTCTGAGCTGTTGTACATATTTTGGGGGAGGGCTGTTCTTTATCTTATTTCTTACTTTCTCTCTTGTCTTGGGAACTACAAAGGAGTATTACAAAACACTGAAATATCAACAATTATAGTTTTTCATTTTTGTTAAATATTACTGTAAAATTGTTCACTCTGGATCCAGAATATGATTTTTCCTGGAATATCGTCTGGATTATTTTTGGCTTAAGCACTACAAAATACATAAATAATTAACAAATGCCATCGTCAAAAAAGAAGAAACTTGCACATGAAACAAAGTGCCAGTTTTAACTGCAAGGGCATATGAAGAGGACATCACATGCTGGCAGTATTTTTCAATCTCATTTCATCAAGCAGTGGTTTTGTTTTCTTTTGATTTTTTACTATTTCTTATTTAAACAGTTTTGTAAATTTATTTCTAGAATAGCCCTTAGCTAGAAAGCAGTATGGGGTGGTGGGGTGGTGGTTATTATTAAGGAAGGCCTGGATCCAAGGGAGACCACTGTGCCGCAGACTGCCGGTTGTGAATCCCTAGGTGTGAAGTGGGGTCATGGGAGGCAGCAAGGGCATGCTGATTGTATACCTGGCTCCCCGCTACGTATCAGCAGCCCTACCCGAGCTTCTCAGTGTGATAGCCGAGATGGCGATTGAGACCCCCAGACTGTTAATCATGGGGGATTTCAATCTGCCATCGTTAGGTGAAGCATCTGAGGTGGCTCGGGAGTTCATGGCCTCCATGACGGCCATGGACCTGACCCAATTAGTAGATGTCCCTACCCACACCGGAGGACACACACTGGACTTAGTTTTTGCCTCCGGCCAGTGGCTGAGTGATCNCCTGAGACCTTGACCCGCGGCTCGACTGAGGACCTGGTGGCCGCCTGGAATGGTGCGGCCGCGGGGGCCCTGGACCGGGTCGTGCCTTTGCGGCCCCTCACCCGATGCCGGTCTACCTTGGCTCCTTGGTTCTCCGAGGAGCTGAGGGTGATGAAGCGTCGGAAGAGATGCCTAGAGAGTAATTGGAGGGCCACCCGCTGCGAATCCAATCAGAAATTGGTAAAGTCCTATTTAAGGACTTACCTAGTAGCGATAAGAGTGGCGAAACGAAACTATTTCTCCGCTCTTATTGCGTCTGCAGGTAACCAATCTGCCGCCCTGTTTAGGGTGTCCCGTTCCCTCCTTCATCAGAGGGGCCAGGATGTCCCTTTGCAGGGTCGGGCAGAGGAATTTGGGTGTTACCCGCATGACAAATTCGATCGGATCCGGGCCGGGTTAGCCTCCGATTGGACTAGTTCAGGTGGGCCAATGGAGGCAGGTCTTGAGTCCATTTTGTGGGAAGAGTTTGATCCTGTGACCCCCGAGGACATGGACAGGATGTTGGGATGGCTGAACACCACCACATGTTTACTGGACCCGTGTCCCTCCTGGCTGGTACTGGCCTCCCGGGAGATTACACGAGGCTGGCTCCAGGGAATCGTCAATGCTTCTTTGAGTGAGGGGTTCTTGCCGGCCGCCTTGAAAGAGGCGGTGGTGAGGCCCCTCCTCAAGAAGCCCTCCCTGGACCTGGCTGTTTTGGCCAACTACCGTCCTGTCTCCAACCTTCGCTTTCTTGCGAAGGTTGTTGAGAGTGTGGTGGCACGACAGCTCCCTCAGCACCTGGAAGAAACTGTCTATCTAGACTCGCGCCAGTCCGGCTTCCGGTCTGGGCACAGCATGGAAACGGCATTGGTCGCGTTGGTTGATGATCTCTGGAGGGCTCGGGATAGAGGCTGCTCCTCTATCCTGGTCCTGTTAGATCTCTCAGCGGCTTTCGATACCATCAACCATGGTATCTTGTTGCACCGGTTAGAGGGGTTGGGTTTGGGGGGCACCGTCTTACGGTGGTTCTCCTCCTACCTCTCGGACCGGTCGCAATTTGTGTTGGTAGGGGGGCAGAGGTCGACCTCGAGGTGCCTCACTTGTGGGGTACCACAGGGGTCGGTCCTCTCGCCTCTCCTGTTCAACATTTATATGAAGCCACTGGGTGAGATCATCCGTGGTTTCGGGGTGGAGTTTCATCAGTACGCAGATGACACCCAGCTGTACATCTCCACCCCGGACCACCCCAACGATGCCGCAGAAGTG